CCAGTGGTGCTGGCGCGGGAGCCATCGTGTTACGTTCCAGGATGCGGCCCTGGTGGCACAAGGTCCCGCCCAGGCAGTGGGGGGGCTGGGGTGCCAGTGTGCGCTCCCCAATGCCAGGGAGGAGCCTTGAGCCTGGGGGGGTTGGATCCGGGCAAGCCAGGGGCCACATCTGGCTCCCAGGCCTGAGGTTCCAAGACTAAGAGGGGATATGCTAGAGGTCTATACAATCATGACTGGAGTGGAGAAAGTGAATTAAAAGAAGTTATTTAATTGTTCCCACAATATAAGAACTGGGGGTCACCTAATGAAATGAACAGGCAGCAGGTTGAAAACAAACAAAAGGAAGTTTTACTTCACGCAGCGCCCAGACAACCTGTGGAACTCCTTGCCACAGGATGTTGTGAAGACCAGGACTTTAACAGGGTTCAAAAAGAGCCAGATAAATTCATGGAGGTTAGGTGCATCAATGGCTATTAGCCAGGATGGGTAGGAATGGTCCCTAGCCTCTGTCTGGAGATGGGTGCCAGGGGAGGGATCATGTGAGGATTCCCTGTTGTGTTCGCTCCCTCCGGGGCATCTGGCATTGGCCACAGTCGGCAGATGGACCTTTAGTCTGACCCAGTCTGGCTGTTCTTATGTTCCCCACCCCTGCTCCAGTGTTTTGGGGTTGAACGGGGAAGACTTTCTGGGGGGCAGTTGATGAAACCACCTTAAAAGCATCTTAAAATCTGTGTGATTGTGCCAGGATTTCTAGTGGCCCTACATAAACAGAGGACTATGGAAGCTGGCCCTAAAGCGAGTGTATTGGACCAATTCCACCTTCATTGCTCTCAGACAGGGTGTGCACATTGCTCCAATGCTGGAAAAAAGAGGAAACGTAGCCAAAAGCGCTGGAGACCAGCAGCTGACCCGCTAGGTGCTGGCCGTAGCAAATCTGAGCAGGGATTGTCTCTCACTCGCTGGGCGTGACGCCCCCTGAAATGCTCACCCACGCCGCACAGCCACCTCTCTTCCTCATACAGCCGTCCTTCCCTGTCTTCCGGGCTCTGAGCAGCAGTGAACAATGTCGCCGTTTACGCGGTGGTCATTAGACTCCAGAGTCAACGGCTCTTTAACTGCCGGGGGCAGGTGAGACATTGCAGAGCAGTTGGCTCAGGCTGCCTGCAGACTCAGGCAGACATGGCCGTGCTGGTCAAAGTGCTGAAGATGCCCATTGCCTGTGTTCTCGCGTCTCCTGCCACCCCCAGGACGTGAGCTGCTCCCCAGCTGTTTCCTGGCACTGTCTGTCTGTAGAGCTGGAGATGCTTTACAGAGGAGCTCATTTCAGAGATGGGGAAACTGAGGCACACAACTGGGACATAACTGGCCCAAGGTTGCCCAGCAGGCCAGGTCAGGACCCAGATTGCCTGAGCCCTCGCCTGGTGCTTGCTGCACTGTCTGTAAAGCACATGGCTTGTCCCTCTGCAGTCAGGTTTATTGCCCGCCTGTTGGTTTGATGGTGCTATTCCCGCCCTGTGGAGCCCATGGACAGCCAGGCCGCTGGCAGTGGGCGCTGGGGCAGCGCATTGCTGGGAAGCTCCCGGCACGGCAAGCGGCGGGTGCGTGTTCTGTCCCTGCTCGCCTGAGAAGGTCCGGTTGGGAGGCTGCGGCGTCAGGGGCTGCGTTCCGCCCCGGGCCGAGCGCCGGCCGACAGAGGCTCCCCGGGGCGCCCTCCCTGCCCCCCGCTGTCCCGTAACGCCCCCGTCTTTGCGTCTCTTGCAGTTATGTTCCGTCTCTACGACACCGACGGCAACGGCGTCCTGGACAGCTCGGTACGCCCTGGCCCGGCGCCGACGCCCCGCGGCTGCACCGCTCTGCTCGCGCCCCGCGAGGCCTGCACGTAGCACCCACGCTGGCTGATGCGGGCGGGGGGGAACGGGGGCAGGCCCGGGCGGCCCAGGCCCCTCCGAGACCCTTGGCGGGGGGG